ATCTATGGAAAGAGGCAGTGAAAAGACTTAACATTTTCAGCCAAAACAAAGCCAGGAGCTAACTGTAGAACAGACCATCAACTGCTTATGTGCAAGTTCAAGTTGAAGCTGAGGAAAATTAAAATAAGTTCACGAGAGCCAAAATATGACCTTGATTATATCCCACCTGAATTTTGAGCTCGTCTGAAGAATAGATTTGACACATCAAACACCAGTGACTGAAAACCAGAGGAGTTGTGGGATGACATCAAGAACATCACACATGAAGAAAACAAAAAGAGTCATTAAAAAACACGAAAGGAAGAAAAGACCAAGATGGACATCCGAAGAAACTTTGAAACTTGCTCTTCAGTGGAGAGTAGCTAAAGTGAAAGGAAGAAATTGAAATAAAACAGCTGAACAGAAGATTTCAAAAGGTGGCTCCAGAAGACAATGTAAAGTATTATGATGAAATGTGTAAAGACTTCAGGTTAGAAAACAAAAAGCAAAGAACACAGTCAGCATTTCTGAAGCTGAGAGAACTGAAGAAAAAATTCAAGACTCAAGTTGCAATGTTGAAGGATTCAGTGGGCAAAATATTGAACGGTGCAGGAAGCATCAAAAGAATATGAAAGAAGACACAGAGTCCCTATACCAAAAAGAATTGGTCAGTGTTCAGTCATTTTAGGAAGTAGCATATGATCAAGAACCACTGGCATTGAAGGAAGAAGTCCAAGCTGCACTGAAGGAATTGGTGGAAAACAAGGCTCCTGGAACTGATAGAGTTGTTGCCTAAGGCATTTGACTGCTAACCATAAGGCTGTCGTTTCAAACCCACCAGCCACTCCTTGGAAGGAAGGTTGGGCACTCTACTTCCGTAGTGATAACTGCCTCGGAAACCCAAGGAGAGGGGTTGCTATGAGTCAGATCAGACTCTATGGCAGTGAGTTTGGTTTTTGGTTTTTGGAATTGATAGAATACCCATTGAGATGTTTTGACAAACGGATGCAGGTCTGGAGGTGCTTACTTGTCTATGCCAGGAAATTTGGAAGACAGCTCTCTAGCCAACTGACTGGAAGAGATCCACATTTGTACCCACTCCAAAGAAAAGTGATCCAACAGAATGTGGAAATTATCAAACAGTATCATTAACATCACACCCAAGTATAATTTTGCTGAAGATAATTTAAAAATGGTTGCAGCAATATACTGACAGAGAATTTCCAGAAATTCAAGCTGGATTCAAAAGAGGATCTGGAATGAGGGATATCATTGCTGATGTCAGATGGATCTTAGGTATAAGCAAAGAATATCAGAAAGATATTTACCTGTTTTTTTTTCCTTAATTATGCAAAGTCATTCGACTATAGATTATAACTAGTTGTAGATGTATTGCAAAGAATGGGAATTCCAGAACACTTAATTGTGCTCATGAGGAACCTGTGCATAGACCAAGGGGCTGCCTTTCATACAGAACAAGAGAATACTGAACGGTTTAAAACCAGGAAGGGCATGCATCAGGGTTGTATTCTTTCACCATACTTAGTCAATCTGTATGCCGAGCAAATAGTCTAAGAAGGTGGATTTATATGAAGCTGGATTGGAGGAAGACTCATTAACAACCTGCGAAGTACAGATGGCACAACCTTGCTTGCTGAAAGTGAAGATGTCTTGTCTTAAAGCACTTACTGATGAAGATCCAAGACTACAGTCTTAGGTATGGATTACACCTCAGCATAAAGAAAACAAAACTCATAACTGGACCAGTTAGCAATATCATGACAAATGGAGAAAAGATTGAAGTTGTCAGGGATTTTATTTTACTTAGATCCACAGTCAACACTCATACCGCAGCAGTAAAGAAAGCAAACATTGTATTGTGCTGAGTAAATCTGCTGTGAAAGACCTCTTTAAAGTGTTGAAGTTGAAGAGCAAAGATTCATTTTGAAGACTAAGGTGCATCTGGTAGCATAGTGGCTAAGACACTTGACTGCTAACCAGACGGCTGGCGGTTCAAACCCACCAGCCACTCCTCGGAAGGAAGGTTGGGGAACCCTACTTCCGTAGTGATACTGCCTCGGAAACCCAAGGAGGGGTCGCTATGAGTCGAGGCCGACTCTACGGCACACAACAACAACAAAGGTGCATCTAACCCAAGCTATGGTATTTTCAGTTGTCTCATCTGCATGTGAAAGCTGGACAATGAATAAGGTAGACTGAAGAATTGATGACTTTGAATTGTGTTGGCAAAGAATACTGAAAAATACCATGGACCGCCAGAAGAACGAACAAATCTGTCTTGGAAGTGCAGCCGGAATGCTCCTTAGAAGTGAGAATGGCTAGAGTTTGTCTCACCTACTTTGGTTGTGTGGTCAGACAGGCCTAGTCCCTGGAGAGTATGCTTGGTAAAATGGAGGTTCAGAGAAAAAGGGAAAGACCTTCAATGAGATGGATTGACAAAGTGACTGCAACAATGGGCTCAAACACAGCAAGGACGATGAGGATGGTGCAGGACAGGGCAGTGTTTCATTCTGTTGTACATTGGGTTGCCATGAGTTGGAATCGACTTGATGGTACCTGACAACAACAACAACTTCATGGGTGTTGATTGTGAATCTAAATAAAATGAAATCCTTGACAACTTCAGTCTTTTCTCCATTTAATATGATTTTGCTTATTTGTGCAGTTATGAGGATTTTTGTAGGTTGAGCTTCCTGGTCAACCATCTGGAAGAGATCCATATTTGTGTCCATTCCACAGAAAGGTAATCCAATAGACTGTATAAATTATCAAACAGTAAGTATCATTAACATCACACACAGGTAAAATTTTGGTGATGTTAATTCAAAAATCGTTGCAGCAGTACATCTAAGTAACTACCAGAAATTCAAGCTGAGTTCAGAAGAGGCTGTGGAAAAAGAGAGATAAATTGCTGATATCAGATAATTCTTGGCTGAAAGCAGAGAATCCCAGAAAGATGTTTACACCTGTTTTATTGGTTATACAAAGACATTTGATTGTGTGGATCATAACACATTATGGGTAACATTGCAAAGACAGAATTCTAGAACACTTCTTAAGTGTGCTTATACCAAGAGGCAGTCATTTGCACAGAACAAAGGGATACTACATGGTTTAAAATCAGGAAAGGTGTGTCTCAGGGTTGTATCCTTTTACCATATTTATTCAGTCTGTAGGCTGAGCACATGATGCAAGAAGCAGGACTATATGAAGAAGAATGTGGCATCAGGATTGGAGGAAGACTTATTTACAACCTGTGCGATGCAGATGACACAGCCTTGGTTGCTGAAAGTGCTGAAGCACTTAATGATGAAAATCAAAGTCTGCAGCCCTCAATATAGATTACACCTCAGCATTTTTCTTGTAGACAGTTGAATTACTTGTGTATCAGTTTGGTCCATTCCGGACTTGTTTTTATACATATTTTCAGCATTGGGGCTTTCTAGAGCTCTTTGGCCCCACTTGATGTGTCAGTTTTGAGGTCTCTGCTGAGCACTCTGTGTATTCAGCGTGGTTTTATTTTTGACTGGTGATAATGTGAACAATTCATGACTTTCTGTTAGCTTTTAAAATTGCTCACCTTATAGTTCTCCAGCAGTTATTCTTAACTTGGAAATTGTTCTTAGCCCAGCCCATAACTTTTGGGGCGGGGGGTGGGGTGGACAGGAATGTTGCTAGCATCTTTATTACTAATTGCCAAAAATTGGAAGTAACCAACATATTGATGAATATTGGTTCATCACTTGTAACAAATACACTACATAAAAGCAAGATATTAATAGGGGGAAATTCTGAGGTTGAAAGGAGTTCTGGTGGCGTAGTGCCTAAGGCATTTTGACTGCTAACCAGAAGCTTGGCAGTTCAAACCTTGTACCAGCCACTTTGTCGAAGGTAAACTGGGCAGTCTACTTCCATAAAAGATTTACCTCCTTGGAAATCCAAAGGGGGTCTCTCTGCGCTCTGCGTTGGAATCAACTTGATGGTAGTGAGTTTGGTTTTTTTGAGTTTTCTGAGGTTGAGTGGGTATATTGGAACTCTCTGCTTTCTGTGCAAATTTTCTGTAAACCTAAAACTTTTCTAAAGTATAAAGTCTAATATTAACAGAAAAAGAATAGGTACAGCCATGGCAAGCAGTTTTTCATTTACAAAGGATAAACGGATTTTTCTTGTTCCCCATGATTGTCTATTTTAATCCTTTTAGAGGTCACTTTTATTTTTACTTATTTTTTAATATTTTACTGTGGTTTGGGTGGAAGTTTACAAAGCATATTAGTTTCCCATTCAACAGTTTATATCCCATTAACAGCTTTTATATTCCCATTCAACAATGTTTCGTGACATTAATTGTAATCCACTCAATGTAACAGCGCTGTTCCCACTTCCTCCCTGGGTTCCCCATTTCCATTCGGCCATCTTTCCTGCCCCTTGCTGCCTTCTGAACTTTGTTTTTGGGTAGATGCTGCCCTTTTGGTCTTATATGGTTGGTGGTTCTAAGGGGTGTGTTCTGCCAGGGGTGTTAATTGTTCATTTTGTAGGCCTATTGTTTGGCTGTGTGGTGATCTCTGAGAGTGGATTAAGTTGTAGATTTGAAGGATGTCTAAGGGCCACAGTCTCAGGGATTCTACCAGTCTCTATTAGACTAGCAAGGCTGCGTTTTTTTAGTTCGTAAGATTTTACTGTATGCATTGTTGTTGTTGTGTTGTTATGTGCCATCAAGTCGGACTGACTCATTCAGCCAAAAATTCGTGGGGGCTCATATGCACATTTCTGGAACTCTTCTTTGGAGGAGCTCTCTTCTCCCTTACACCATGGCCCACAAATTCTAGCCTCCTCAACTTTCCCAAAGTGTGGGCTCTGCTTAAGTTTTCCTTCCCTTCTATTTTTTCTTCTATATTTTATTTTAATCCTCTTATATCCTGAGGTTTTTAGGTATGCCTCATGAAAAACATGCAGATTATTATTACTTCAGTCTCTAAGTAAAAATGTTTTCTCTGTGTTTACAGTGCTGAAGCTGCTGAAAGATGGCGGAAGAAGTGGTGGTTGTAGCCAAATTTGATTATGTAGCCCAACAAGAGCAAGAACTGGACATCAAGAAGAATGAAAGATTATGGCTTCTGGATGATTCTAAGTCCTGGTGGCGAGTTCGAAATTCCATGAATAAAACAGGTTTTGTGCCTTCTAACTATGTGGAAAGGAAAAACAGTGCTCGGAAAGCATCTATTGTGAAAAACCTCAAGGATACATTAGGTAAGTTGTTTTTGTATTAAGACAACAACAACAACAACTTTCTTTTAATGGAATTTCATTGCTTAATTCCTAGTAACAATATTTTGGCAACAGTGATGCAAAATTTCTCCCATGGCAGATGTTCAAGCCAGGGGGGCCAGTGAAGGTTATGACAGTTTCTTTAAATGTAGGCAGGTGGATCTGGCAAGAGTGATGTTAATGAACAGAACTGACTGACCTTTCAGTGGCTCCTGGGATTATGAGTGCCTTTTGGAGTCTAGAGACTGTTAATGGATTGAATTGTATCCTCCCCAAAATGTGTTGTAAATCCTAACCCCTATACTTGTGGATATACTCCCATTTGGGAATAGGGCTTTCTTCGTTATGTTAATGAGGCCATATCAGTGTAAGGGGTGTCTTCAACCAATCACTTTTGAGATATTAAAGAGCAGATTAGGCAAAAAAAGAAAGTAGACCTGAAGAAGACCAACACTTATCTGATGAGTCCACAAGCCCAGAAATTCTAAGGATGGCTGAATGAAAAAGCTGAGGTGAGGATTTTTTATGGTTCTAGGGGAAGGTGGACAGATAGAGACTTCCTCTAGAGCCAGTGCCCTAAATTCATACTTCTAGCCTTCTAAACTGTGAGAAAATAAATTTCTGTTGCTTAAAGTCACCGATTTGTGGTATTTCTGTTACAGTGGCACTGGGTAACTAAGTAACTTAGACAAATTCTGCCTCTAATTGAAGCAAGGATGTGAGAGAGATGCAGATTTGCTTCCTTGGCATCAAAAGCATTTTATTTTACAATGGCACATGCCTGTATTTTAACATCTAACAGATTGCATTCTGAACTTCAGTTTTGAAAAACAAACCACCATTTTATTCTTTTCTTTGATGAGAGTAAATTGAGGATCATTATCGTAGGTAAATGTGTACAGAACGGATCTCTTTCCAGCTTTGTTTCGCTTTTTGACTTTCTTTCTTCCTCTAGAGGTGCCTGCTGTGGTGGTACAGTGATTAAGCACTCAGCTACTAATTGAAAGGTCAGCATTTTGAACCTATGCACCAACTGTAGGAGAAAGATGTGGCAGTCTGTTTCCGTAAAAATTCCAAAAACTCACTGCCATCGAGTCGATTTCAACTCATAATGATGCTATAGGACAGAGGAGAACTGCCCCATAGCATTTTCAAGGCTGTAAATCTTTATGGAAGTACACTGCCTCATCTTTCTCCCACGAAATGGCTGGTCGGTTCAAACTGCTGACCTTTTGCTTTAGCAGCTGAATGCCTTAACCACTGTACCACCAGAGCTTCTTTCTGTAAAGATTGCCGCCTTGGAAACCTTGTAGGCCAGTTCTGCTTTGTTCTATAGGGTTACTGAATCAGAATCTACTTGACAGCGATGGGTTTTGTTCTTTTTCTCTTAGAACATAGAACTTTTGTTTTTTTAGAGGCCCTCCATTAGGGCCAGAAACTGAAGCCTGCTTCCCCTCGGGCTTGGCTGAGCTGATAGGAGGAAGGAAATGCACAGAGGAGGGGGAGGGAACTGGTCTTTTTTTTTTTTTTTTTTTTTTAAGATCAAACTTTTTGGCTAACAGGAAGGAATTGGGAGGAACAATTTCATTTTTGGTATTCAGGCAAGCATGCTATTGCTTTATGGTGCTTTACATATATAGAGAAAAGAAAAAATTTCTTCTTGGAAAAATAATTTTGGAGCAGTGTAGCATGATTGATAGATATGAAATATTACTAGTTGCTTTACATTAGTTGTTATTTCTTATACAACATTATTGTTACTCTGGAGTGTCATTTTAATTGTCAGAAATAGAAGACAAATCTGTAATGTTTTTAACCAGTTTAAAACAGCAAAAACTAAAGTACAGTTCAAAAAGTAAGATGCAGAATACCAGAATATCAGTTTCTAAGCTAAAAACATTTTCCAGTACTATAAAGATGATTTAGTAGATGGAATTAGCAATCTAAATTTTTACTGTGACATTTCTCTACTGTATCTGGGGATACCTACCCCTCCCCCTCTCCCTGATTTTAAAGTTTTGCAAATAAGACCCTTATTTTTAACAGTTTTTGAGTGGAAGACAAATCAGAAAGATTTTCCTTGAATAGTTCAAGGGACCAGAGTTAGAATCAGGACTATTTCTGATTTTATGAATGCTGGGTATTTGTTCAAAACATGTTGATTTGTGATATTGGACAGAATTAAGGTAGCTTTTGTCAAGAAAATATATCTGATAGTGATGCAGGCACTGAAGGACTATGACCATGCCTGTACTCGTATCCTGAGGCTAGAGCATATGTGACAGTTATTATCAAAAGATAGTTTAAAAAAAAAAAAAAACCAGTGTTGAGCAGAGGCCCTAGGTATTATGCAATACATTTTAAAAGCCAAATTACAAACCATTCTCATTATTGGTAAATACTCCTAACAAACTTTCATTACTATTTTCTGATATTATTGAGACAATTTTAGGAAAACTTTATATCTATTTAAGATTTTAAAAATCTCTGTTATCGTTATTACTGAAATGCAGTTGTCTTTGTCTGTATTCTAGGATGCTTGGGAAAACTCTTTGTAGTTAAGCTGTATAATGATTTTAATTCAATTTTGCACTATTTTCTTTTAGTGTTTTTATTTTCTTTGTACACAACTGCTCTCAGAACTCATTTCAAATGTCTTACCTCAGACTCTCAAGTTCTGCATCCATTTTCAAATTTAAATGTCACACATAATGGATTTGTTTCACAATGATTGTGCTGGTGGAAGCATTGTCTGTAAGTTAAGGAAAAGAAGAAGAAAGAATACTTAAATATGTATTTTTAACTATTAAAAAAGCATATGCTTTAAAGAGGTCACATTTGTGACCATCATGATATACTTATTTTTCAGGTTCTTTCATAGTTTAGGGAGAAAATCTCTTTTGAAAAGAGAAGCCACAGGAAAACTTTCTATTACCTGGGTGTGGGCCAAGTCACATGGATTGGGTGTGGGAAGTTTCAGTGTTGCAGAACAGACCAGGAAGCTCACTGAAAATTATCCAGAGCTGAGTAACAAACTGACAAAAGACAACACTGCATTTTTATTGAAAATGGATTGGCTAAACGTCTTTAAAGATTTTTTCAGTAAGTTAATCTGTTTATTAAATCCATGGTTTTTCTTGTTGTGGTTTTTTAATTAAGTTTTTTTCACTTTTATGAACTAAAAGGAAAAAATTCCATAGAGAGAATCTGGTGGGTTTATGTAAGCTGGTACTTTATGTTGTTTATGAAATATAAGCTAAATATGATATGTGGTGTATCAAATAATATTTGTTTTGATTTGATAAGTAAAATAATTTTTTAATGTTTTAATATGAATTGCTTAAGTAACAAACAGGAAAAGGATATAAACAGTTTGGATTTGATGCAATTAGTTTTAATCTACTAATTTCAGTTTAACACAGACATATGAAGTGAATTATGAATTATAAACATACTAAAAATATTAGGAAAAAACGATTGAGTTGGCACATTCCTTCATCTTCAACCTTTGAATTAATATGACATGTTTTAGTTCTTTTAACTTAAATTTTAGAACTGTATAAAGTTTAATAAAGTATCAGGATGAAAAAATTATTTAATCATTGTAAGAGGGCTAGAAATTGCTATTTTAGTGAGCCTGAGATTAGATATTTGATATGAGTTCTGAGAGCAATTGTGAACAAAGAAAATAACACTCAAAGAAAGTAGTGAATTCTTGGTATGGTGTTTGAGTCAGATCATAAAGTAGTATTAATACTTACAAGAGACTGATCTGTGACAGCCTGTTTTATTATCTTATGGTAGTGAACTTGATTTGATGTCCTTGAACGTTTCCATGGTATTTCTATAAAAATGAACGGGAATTGTTGTAGAAGTTGCTTATGCATAAAAAGCCTAAGGGGGAAAAAAAACCTGTCAAGAGATTCCTGGGAAAAAGACAAAATGGATAAGGAGCAAGTACTTTGCTGAAAAGAATGTTGTCATTTTAATACGAAGTCTGTAATTTCTTCTTCAGTTAGTTTTGGTGGCTAGGTCCATCCTCTGGAATATGTCTGTTTTGGGAAGTTGTTTATTTTTTTAGATCTTTGCATTTTCAGAAAGTTTGGTTTTCTTCTTAATTCATTTTTTAACGAATTTTTAATTTTTTACTCATTTGTTTTTAACATAGTTTTACTGTAAACCAGTCACAAATCATAGAGTAAAACACTAATATTAACTCATGGTAGGGAGGCCAATGACAATAGTTTATTATTAATAATATAGTGAGTTTCATATATAGGTTTGGTCTTAAGTGATGTTCAAATAAATCATATTAAAATGGTAAAAAAATAATATGTGAATCATTGATACAGTGATTTAGTACATAATGTTATCAATGCAGTGATAAAACTATCATTTTCTTTGTTGAATCCTAGCAAATTAAGAGTTCATGTTAAATGCATCTGTAAACTGAGTAGTACATAATGTTATCAGTGCAGTGATAAAACTATCATTTTCTTTGTTGAATACTAGCAAATTGAGAGTTAATTTTAAATGCATCTGTAAACTGAGGTTCAGGATTTTGAGATTTGTAACCAAACTTTTCCTTTCCTCAGTTCTTATAGCCTCTCCCAAACTTGTATTTATTTTGCTGGTCAGCTTGTCAGAGTAGACACTCACTTATCTACTCTCTGAATGAACTTAAATGTAGATGAAACAGCATATTTGCTCTTGGTATGGTAGTTAGAAGAATACCCTTAAAAACAAAAAACCACAATATTTTAGATAAAACAGAGAATAAGAAAATTCCATGTTTATCAAATAGATGGAATCAACAGATGAAAATATAAAAATTTTAATGGAAACCTGTAATAGAAAGAACATCATATAGTTATTATTTCTGCTCCCAGATATACCACTTACCAGTCATGTGACCTAGAATATATCACTAAACTTTCCTGATTTCCTGTTTCTTATTTATAAAGCAGTGTGTTATGCAAGACTAGATGATCCTGGAAAGTCCCTTCTAACTTTGTAAGTGTTATAGTCCTTGTAAATAACTGAACAGTCTTACATGTGTCCTAGAAATCAGGGGAAATTCATGAGGGAGAAACTGGTTTTGGAGAAAAAGAACATATAAACAAAATTACAGACGAAGAGATAGTATTTTTTTGGGCCCATTCTCTTGAACTAATTTAGTTAGTGATTTAGATGAAGGAAAGATAAGATGTCATACTTAAAGTAAGGAAGACCTAGTGTTGAAAGCAATAACTAGTATACTGGATTCAGAAATATTTTTGGAAGCTAAAAGCTTAGGTGGAAGTGAACAAGATGATTATGAACAGAAATATAAAAAACTGTATTAAGTTTCAAAAAGGAATTGAAATGATCAGTGAGAATCTGTCTTGGCAGCAGTTTATGTGAATAAAAGTAAGAGCTGCTATGGTAATGTAGGTAGTGGCGGGGGGGGCGCCTCTTATTGCAGTCTATGGTGGTATTGATTGAAATCTATGTAGTGCTCAGGTGAAGTGATGCAATAGCTGTCTTATATGTTGTGCTGGCTAAATGAAACATAGAGTAGTTTATCCACTTTGGATAAACAAATTTTAACAATGATGTTGAAAAACTTGGGTGCTTCCAAGTACTGCCATCTAAGGATTTGGAAACCAGGTTATATAAGTAGTCTTTATGAGTACAAAGATTTGTCTCTGGAAGAGGGAAGACTGTCATGTGAAGGTGGAATAGTCACAGTGCTTCACCAGGTTCTTCAAAGCTTTTGAGTTTCTAATGTATTGTTCTGTTTAAGAAACAGTGCTGTAGGAAGAGAGAAGATAGATAGATTAATAGATAGGCACAGGGCCTTAAAAGAGCATGGGATTTTGGTAACTCAGGTTCTATTTTGACAGGTGTTTCCATGATTTCCACAGCAGGAGAAAGGGAATGTGATGAATCACACACTCACTGTCTCATAGAGGTTCTACTTGCAAGTGATCTATGTCCCTTCTACTTATATCTCAGGGAGCTCTGGTGGTGTCGTGCCTAAGGCATTTGACTGCTAACCAGAAGGCTAGTGGTTCAAACCCACCAGCCAGTCCTTGGATGGAAGGTTGGGCAATCTACTTCCTTAGAGACACACTTGCCTCAGAAGCCCAAGGAAGGGTCTCTATGAGTCGCAGTCTCTATGGCAGTGAGTGAGTTAGTTAGTTCAGGAGTTTGATATGGTTGTAGTATTACTTGTACCATCATTGTGTCAGGAAAAAATAGGTAAGAGGCTGAAGAAATGCTTAAAACAGAGATCAGAGAGGGCTTTGTGTTGCATAGAAAACAAATATTCTAAGGTTAGGTTTCCCTGACATATTCTGGCCTATAAGATTAAAATACAACAATTTTTTTTTTTTTTGGGGGGGTATTTTTCCCCTCTTGGGACTTACAGTCTAAAAATTTAATTCTTTTATTGACAATTTCACATTTTTCTTTACATGATCTTTTTCAGAATTGAAAAATAATTTGAGTCTATTCTTTATGTTAGAGGTTTAACTTTCTTTTTTTGTGTTCAGTTTTAGTGAATTTAACAAACATTGATTACCTGTTATGTGCACAGTTCTAGGTGCTATAGGGAGTGCAAAAGTTCAGTGACACAGAACATATCCTTCTGGAAAATTATGCTGTAGTAGGTGGACTTAGAAGACAGATAAAGGAAAAGCTATGATACGGGTACCTCAGACATACAAAGTGAGAATAGGATATTTAAAGAAAAGGGAGACCTTACTTAGAAGTGGAGGTGAGAAATTAACATGGATTGGCAAGATTAATAAGATAATAAATAAATTGTTATTTGTGATAGTATTTCTTGAATGGGTATATTTTTGAAAGGTCGAAGTTATGATAAGGTTTTGGGGCAAAACTAGCAAACAAGGTAAACTAAGTCATGAAGATGGAAACATTCTGAGGATTTCAAGTAGCCCATTTTTATTAGAATTTAGGGTAGATTGATGCAGGGTGTTGTCAAAAGATGCTGTTGTAAAAACATTTACGATACGTACTACATTCTTTACATGTTGTTGTTGTTGTTGTTATATGCCCCCCGTCGAGTCGGCCCTGACTCATAGCGACCCCTCCTTGGGTTTCTGAGGCAGTATCACTACGGAAGTAGGATTGCCCAACCTTCCTTCCGAGGAGTGGCTGGTGGGTTTGAACCGCCAGCCTTCTGGTTAGCAGTCAAGTGCCTTAGGCACTATGCTACCAGAGCTCCTAGTTTATTCAATTAACATAATATATATGAGGTAAATAGTATTTTCTCCATTCTAAGCTCAGAAAAGTGAAAGAGCTTGCTTAAGATAACACAACTAGGAAGTCATAGAGCTGGGATTTGAACCCAAGGGCTAATTTCAGGGTCTATGCATTTTTCAATATTCCATATCATAATCCTTGAAAGGAAAGAAGAAGACAATGTAGAGAGGGCCTCAGGTTCTTTGTAGCTATTTTTCTTCATTTATTAGGCAGTGAAGAGTTGGCTTTTTGAGCAGTGGAGTTAATCTGAATAGAAGTATATTTTTAGGAATATCAGACTAGTTGATAGTGATGATGGTTTGAAACAGGGAGAAATTAGATTCATAAGGAAATTAGGAAGTTGGTGAAAACTCAGGTAAGATGTAACAGTCCTGAGGTAGCACTGCAGTAGTAGGAACGCAAAATGTTGGCAGTAAAAAGATATGCTAAGATGACCCTAAGGACTTGATGTAGAATTTAGAACAAGCTTTTTATTGAGGTAAAATTGGCATAACATAAAATTAACCACTTTAAAGGGTACAATTCAGTGGTATTTAGTACTTTGTAACAATGTTGTGTAACCATTACCTTCAGTTGGTTCTCAAAACATTTTCATCACCCCAAAAGGAAATCCCGTGCAACATGTGCTCCTTCCTCTGGCCCCTGGCAACTACCAGTCTGCTTTCTGTCTTTATGACTTTACTTATTGTGGATATTCATATCCTTTTATGTCTGGCTTCTAAGTTTAGCTTTAAGTTGTCAAGCAAGGTTCATCCACATTGTAGCCTTTATCAATACTCATTTCTTTTTATGGCTGAAAAAATTTTGTTGTATGTATATAATTATAGTTCATTTATACATCATCTGTTGGTAGGCATTTAGGTTGCTTCCACCCTTTGGTTTTTGGAAATAGAGCTCTTATGAACATTTGTGGCAAGTATTAGAGTCCGTTTTCACTTCTTTTGGATATATACATAGGAATGGAATTGCTGAGTCATGGAGTAATTCTGTGTGTAACTTTTGGAGGAACTGTCAGCCTGTTTTCCATAACGATTGCATTGTTTTACATTACCACCATTATAAGTCTCAATTTCTCTGCATCTTCATCAATGCTTGTTGTTTCCTTTTCTTTATTTTAATTGTCATTCTAACATTGTGAAGTGGTAGTATCATCGTGGTTTTGATTAGCATTTCCCTGATGACTAATGATATTGAGCATCTTTTTGTGTGCATTTTTGCCATTTGTATGTATGTCTTTGGAGAAATACCTATTCAAATCCTTTGCCCATTTTAGAAATTGGGTAGTTTGTCCTTTTGTTGTTGAATTGTAGCAGTTCTTTATAAATTCTGTATTCTTGCCCTTCAGGTACATGATTTGCTGAGATTTTTTTACGGTTCTTTGGTTGTCTTTTCACTTTCTTCACAGTGTCCATTGATACACAAAAATTTTTAATTTCGATTATGTCTAACACCTATTTTTTGTTGGTTGTGCTTTTGGTATCAGAAACAAGAATCTATAGTCAAATTGAAAGTCATAAAGATTTACTCCTTATTTTTAAAAAAAAAAAAAAGGATTTCTAGTAAGACTTCTATGGTTTTAGATCTTACATTTAAGTCTTTGGTCCATTTGGGTTAATTTTAGTATAACAATGTGAGATAAGAGTCCAACTTCATTGTTTTGCATGTAGAGATCCAGCTGTCCCCGTACCTTGTTGGAGAGACTGTTCTTTCCCTGTTGGCACCTTTGTTGAAAATTAGTTGACCATAGATTTATAGGTTTATTTCCGGACTCTCAGTTCTACTCCAGTGATCTAACCTATGGTATTATACTGTTTTGATTACTGTAGTAAGTTTTAAAATTGGGACATGTGAGCCCTCCACAGCCTAGGTGTGAGAACTAAAAAAGCAAATGGGAAAACTACCCAGGCATAAATATAGTATTACATTGTATATAAAATTTTAATTAAGTTACTGTTTTAATTCCATACAGCTAATTGTGGGGTCTTAGTTAATGAAGTAAGACAAAAGAGTATGGATTGGGAATGCCTTTGTGTACATAGGTTGTAGATATGACAGAGGTAATCTGGCTGTATTTAAGAGGAAATTCATTAATGTAGGACAAATTTACTATAAATTTTGTTATGCACTTATTTTAGGGCTTTCGTAAGAGAAAAGATGAGTAGGCAAACTGTTCTTTTAGTAACTGAAATTAAGTCTTTTATTTGATTATGAAAAGAGAATTTGCATCTTATTTCCAAGGAGGTATATACAACATTGAAATTTGTTATCTAAGTACAGAGGCTTAAAAAAACTATACAGAGTTTAAAAAAAAAAAAAAACTTACAGCTATATAAGTTCTGACTCATAGGGACCCCCATCGGGTTTCCAAGGCTGTGAATATTTACGGAAGTAGATTGCCCCGTCTTCCTTCCATGAAACAGCTGGTGGGTTTGAACTGCTAACCTTCTGGTTAGCAGCCAAATGCCTTATGTACTACACCACTAGAGCTCCTTATGCAGAGTTAAGATCTTTTTTTTTTTTTTTTTTTAATAATAAATATTAAATTTTTTTTTTGGTAATCATTGTTTTCTGTTCTTTCTCACTCCCCCTTCTTATTTAAACAGGCATTGGAAAAGTAAAAAGAAAACCTAGTGTGCCAGACTCTGCATCTCCTGCTGATGACAGCTTTGTCGACCCAGGGGAACGTCTCTATGACCTTAACATGCCTGCTTATGTGAAGTTTAACTACATGGCTGAGAGAGAAGATGAGTTATCTTTGATAAAAGGCACGAAGGTGATCGTCATGGAGAAATGTAGTGATGGGTGGTGGCGAGGAAGCTACAATGGACAAGTTGGATGGTTCCCTTCAAACTATGTAACTGAAGAAGGTGATAGTCCTTTGGGTGACCATGTAGGTTCCCTATCAGAGAAATTAGCAGCTGTCGTCAATAACCTAAATACTGGGCAAGTGTTGCATGTTGTACAGGCTCTTTACCCATTCAGCTCATCCAATGATGAAGAACTTAATTTTGAGAAAGGAGATATAATGGATGTTATTGAAAAACCTGAAAATGACCCTGAGTGGTGGAAATGCAGGAAGATCAATGGAATGATTGGTCTGGTGCCAAAAAACTATGTTACCATTATGCAGAATAATCCATTAACCTCTGGTTTGGAACCATCACCTCCACAGTGTGACTACATTAGGCCTTCACTCACCGGAAAGTTTGCTGGCAATCCATGGTATTATGGGAAAGTCACCAGGCATCAAGCGGAAATAGCATTAAATGAAAGAGGGCATGAAGGAGATTTCCTCATTCGTGATAGTGAATCTTCGGTAAGTTGATTCACCAAGGTAAACGAAAACTGGGCTCTAAATTTTTAGAACAGTAGAGGATTGGAGAGGTTAAGTGGTTTCCCTTAAGTTACTGGTTGCTGTCAAATTAATCCTGACTTAGGATAACCCCATGTGTGTCAGAGTACAACTGTACTCCATAGCCTTTTAGTGGCTGAGTTTTGAGAAGTAGATTGTCAGGCCTTTCTTCTGTGGCACCCTTGGATGGGCTTGGACCATCAGCCTTTTGGTTAGCAGCTAAGCACATTAACTGTCATCCAGGGACCTCACCTCCCTAATGTTATTAAAGTAGAAAATAAATGTTCTGAAGCTAAAATCAGTATTGTTTCCAAAAGTATCTAGTCTGAATAAAATTTAGTCCTGACAATGATTCTACACTAGGTATGACCTTGTTTGGTTCTTTTGGTTTTAAAATATTTTCAGTTACATTATACTAAAAAATAGAGAAAATTGAACATTGACTTCTTCACTGAGAGTAGAGCGATATAGTAGACTAAACTGGACAAACATTTCTTAAATTGCAAATGATATGCAATGTGTAGGAATGTAGTCACTCTAGTCCTTATAATATACCAATGATCATGAAGATGGTGAAGGACAGGGCAATGTTTTATTCTGTTTGATATAATGTTGTGATGAGTCAGAGACAACTTGACAGCAGCTAACAACAGTCATAATATAGGAAGTGCCTTAAATTTTTTTAAAGTGATAAAGTTTCTTCATAAATTGGTGGTTTAGACATTAGAATGCACTTTTTATATGCCTCAAAAACCTTACTGTATTTGAGATGCATTTGCAGTGAAAGGTAAATTAGTCGGGGCCGACTTGACGGCACATAACAACATAACAACAACAAATTAAAGATAAAACAAAACCATGCCTAAGGCATTTGACTGCTAAGCAGAAGGCTGGTGGTTCAAACCCACTAGCCACTCCTTGGAAGGAAGATTGGGCAATCTACTTCCCTAGTGATATCGCCTCAGAAACCCGAGGAGGGGTCGCCATGAGTCAGAATCGACTCGAAAGCAGTGAGTTTTGTTTTGGTTTATAGTTAAATAGGTTCTTGGGGACTGTGAAGGATATAAGAACTTAATGACTCTTTTTCCTTAAATATGGTCTTTCTTTTTCTTTCGTAAAAGATGTCACTACTTTTTCACTTATCAACTCATAATTAGTATGATTTTTTTGTGTAGGTACAGAAGTGAATGTATAGTTTATAAAAGGTTGAAAGAAAGGAAAAACCTGTGTTGGTGTGGTGTGCATATGTGTGTATATGAAAGAGAGACAGATACACAGTCATTGAGAGAGAGTGAGATTAATTGAACTGTCTGATGTGAAAGTCAGGAAAATGGAGTCTGCACCTAACCCCCTGGGAGAACAAGTGGTTGATGGGAAGTAAGAGTGGTTGGATCTGTTTTCTATTAGATGCCTGACATGGGCCCTGCTCTCCAGGGCAAGCAGTGGGCAGAGGGCTATAGGAAGGGAGTGACCTTAGAATGGGTGATAAAAAAGTAATAAGTGTGAGATGTTACTAACAAAAATAAAGTTCACTGTTTGAAACTTCCACAGTTTCAAAAAATTGTATAAAAAAAAGGTTTAGGGTTCATGATCTAGACTGTTTAGAGTGTTAAAAAAAAAAAAATAAAACACGTAATTAAGAAAGTAGCTTAAATGCAGAATACAGTGTACTTTCTTTGGGGTATTTGATCATAGATATTAACCAAAATATACCATTAGTTTCAGCAATATAATCCTTAGTGTACAGGTCTCAAATGGCGTATTTTGTTGGTCTAGCACGAGTGTATAATTTTTTAAAATAACATTAGAATTTATTACTAACTTGAAATATTGGGATTTATTGTAAAAATTTTGACTTCAGACTTCGTTTATAAAAATAGGAACCTGTCAGCATTGAGCTCATATTCCCATAAAGTAGCAGTCACAACTGATAAGTGACCATTTCCTTTAGGGTATGTACTGTTGTTCACTATGTTCATCTGACCCCTGCTCTGTAGCTTACTTTTTGGCCCTTGTAGGCATTTGAGTTTGTGATTCCTCATTAGGATTTAGGTTAATTCTCATCTCTGTGTCCTTTTCTTTGAGAATTCAGGGTATTATCTTTAAGATAGCAGCTAGTCACTACAAGTTACAGAGAGTTTAAAATTTTCTCATTTATTTCCCCAGTAGTCTGACTGGAGCAGCTAGTTCTGTGCTTCAGATATTAACTAAAGGATTTACTGTGAGCATTGTATAGAGTGTATTAGACTTTGGAGTTCAACTGCTTGAGTTTGAATCCTAGTTCTTTTATTAACTAGGTGGATGGTGTTTGGCGAGTTAGCTTCTCTGAGCCTTGGTTTTTTCATCTGTAAAATGGGTTTGTTTTGAGGAGTAAAGGAGATAATAGTCTATGTAAATAACTTAGCACAGTGTTTGTTGTTGTTGTTGTTATATGCCCTGGAGTCAGCCCTGACTCCTAGCGACCCCTCCTTGGGTTTCCGAGGCAGTATTACTA